GAAGGAGGATGGAATGAAGTAAGGAAAAAGACTTCTTGAAAGAAGATAGACATGTCAAGTGACAGTCTTAGTGAATCTGATTCGCAGAATGAATTGAAGAAAGTAAAGAAAAGGATTGAGAATGAAGAGTGGAAAGTGATTGTGGAGTTTGGTGAGCAATCCGCAGCTAAGCTACATCCAGTGGCCCTGACTAAAGCGATTCACAAAGAAATTGGATCGATAAAGCAAGCAAGATTTCTGAGCAAAGGACGGATGTTGGTTGAAATGATGAATGCAAAACAACAGGAAAAGTTACTGAAAATGAAGACCCTGAATGAAGTTCGAATTAAATGCCATGTTCCTGGAGCAAATCGGAAAATACTTGGAGTTATCAGTGGAGTTCCGATAGAAATCGGCATAGAAGAACTCAAGAAAGAAATTAAAGGGGGAAAAGTGTCTGTAGTTAAGCGTCTTCCTACTAGGTATCAGGGTAAGATAGTGGATAGTTTGTCTGTTCTTCTTCAGTTTGAAGAAACAATTCAACAGAAGATTATGATCGGTTGCATGAGCTTTCCAGTAAGAGAATTCATCCCTAAACCTTTGCGGTGCTTTAAATGCCAAAGGTTTGGGCATGTGGCAGACAAGTGCAAAGCAACTAAGCCCAGGTGTCCAACATGTGCGGGGGAACATGAATATGGTAGTTGTGCTGCAGGTGCTAAGGTGAAATGTTGTAACTGTGGTGGGGAACATAGTGCTGCGTATCAGGGCTGCCAAGTGCAGAAAAAGGCCAAGGAGGTGCAGAGATACAAAGTGCAAAATAAAGTCTCATATTCTGAAGCAACAGAAAAGGTATCACTAAACATAGCTAGGAAATCCCAAGTAGCAGCAAGTATATTCTCTTCAAAAGATTTTCCCAAACTCCCACAGGCAAAGGAAAGCTCCACAAAGTGTTCACATAAGTGTGTGATAGGAGAGGATGCATTGATTGTTAATAAGTACAAATTTGTGGCCTTTATTGGAAAAGTGGTGAATGTTGCTTTGCAACAAACAAAAAAGAGGTCAAGACTGAAAATAATAGTGGAAGCAGCAGGTGAAATTTTGGGGATAAAGGATATAACGGTTGAAATGATACATGATATGCTAGCCCCCAATAATGATGATTCACAGATTAGTGAATAGATTGATGGTTTTTCTCATTCTGCAGTGGAATGCTAGAAGCCTTATTGCAAATGGACAAGAATTCAAGACCTATATATATCAGTTAAAAGAAAAACCAGACGTTATTTGTATTCAAGAAACATGGCTGAAGACTCATTTGGACTTTATTATTGGGGGATATAGTGCTATAAGACAAGATAGAAATGATGGTCAGGGAGGGGGATGTGTAATCTTTATCAGAGAAATAATGTCTTATAGTAGGCTAACATTTAAGAACAGTCATGATTTAGAAATAGTGGGTGTAGAAGTTTGGATTAATAAAAGGAATATTAGTGTCCTGAATTTTTATAATCCATGTAATAAACTCAAAATAGAGGAATTAGACAGTCTTTGTCAAGGAAATGAAATAATATGGTGTGGTGATTTTAATGCACATAATACAATGTGGGGAGGGAGATCAACAGATTACAACGGACAGGTGGTGGAGGACTTAATGGAGGCAAATGAATTAGTTTGTTTAAATAATGGGCAAGGTACAAGACTCAATTTTAGAGATGGAACAGAGTCTGCGATCGATCTAACTCTGGTAACAATTGAATTCGCTTCTGGTAGCAGTTGGGAAGTATTGGCAAATAACAGTATAGGGAGTGATCATCTTCCGATTATAATCAAGTTTGATATAAGTAATGTGGTTGAGCTAGACGGTATCATGAGATGGACTTTTTCTAAAGCAAATTGGGAGATGTTTGCTAAATTGTGATAATGAATTTGATCAGATTGATATGGCAGGAAGTATTGATGATATAAATGAGCAATTTACTTCAAATATAATTAAAAGCGCTAATCAATCTATTGGGAATAAAACTGGTAAACTTAGTAAATGTGTTAAGATGGTACCGTGGTGGAACAAAGAATGTAATGATGCAATCCGAAACAAAATCAGGCTGTTTGGAAAGCTAAGAAAGACACATTCATTACACAATTTATTAGAATATAAGAAGGCACAGGCTCAGGTAAGGAAAATTGTTAAAAGAGCAAAAAGGGAGTGTTGGAGAGGATTCTGTTCAAGTATTGGGAGAACTACGCCATTAGATAAAGTATGGGGAATGATTAAGAAGATGAGGGGAATTAGACAGCAGAGTAACCTGCCAGTGTTAGAGAATGGAGGGGAAATTGCCACTGGTCCTATGGAGAAGGCAGAAATTCTAGCTACAAATTTTGTCAAAGTTCATTCTTCGGAAAATTTGACAGAAGAAGGTAAGATCAGGAGGCAGGAAGTGTTAGATGAACATCCTAATGTATATGAAGAAAGACATTCGTCGCAGAGTGTTGTAAATGTACCTTTTTCTATTCAAGAGTTGAGAAGAGCATTAAGTAAGTGTAAAATGACTGCTCCTGGGAAAGATAATGTATGTTATATAATGTTGACCAAATTAAGTGATTTTGCATTAGGAAAGCTGTTGGAGATGTATAATAAGATTTGGGAGAAAGGGAAGCTGCCAATAATATGGAAAGAGTCTGTCATTATTCCTATTAGAAAACCTGGGAAAGATCCAACTAGTCCAGGCAGTTATAGACCTATAGCTCTGACATCGCACTTGTGTAAAGTTATGGAAAGAATGATAACAGAAAGGCTGACATACTACGTTGAGAAAAATGAACTAATGACTCCTTATCAGAGTGGGTTTAGAAGAGGGCGGAGTACTTTAGATCCACTGCTGTGCCTGGAATCTGAAGTTAGGAAAGCCCAAGCGAATAAGGAGTGTGTTGTAGCTGTATTCTTTGATGTGGAAAAAGCTTACGATATGATGTGGAAGGAAGGATTATTAATAAAACTGGACATTATGGGTCTGGGAGGTAATGTATATAATTGGATTATGGATTTTTTGTTTGGCCGTGCCATCAGAGTCCGAGTTGGCAATTCTTATTCTCGAAGGCATGAAGTTGAAAATGGAACCCCACAGGGGAGTGTAATTAGTCCTCTTTTGTTTTCTATCATGATAAATGATATATATACACAAGTAGGATCTGATATCGGTAAGTCACTTTTTGCAGATGATGGAGCTATTTGGAAAAGGGGCAGAAATGTAAATTATATTGTAGGTAAGATTCAGGAAGCCATTACGGAAATTGAAAGTTGGTCTCTGACATGGGGGTTTAGATTGTCGGTGGAAAAAACTGAAACTTTATTTTTTACGAGGAAAAGGATAGGTGAGGAGGTTAGGTTAAAACTTTATGGACAAGAACTAAAGAAAGTGAAGACATTTAAATTTCTGGGAATATGGTTGGACGAGAGAGTCACATGGAGTACTCACATTGATAAAGTAGTAGATAAATGTAAAAGGGTTTTAAATGTTATGAGGTGCTTGGCAGGCACTAAGTGGGGGGCTGATAAAGCTGCTTTGAGGAACGTATACACAGCATTAATTAGATCAGCCATAGAATACGGACTAATAGTGTATGGTTCAGCTGCATACTCTTCTCTTCAAAAATTAGATAGAGTCCAGGCACAAGCACTAAGGATATGCTGTGGGGCAGTCAGATCTACACCAGTGTCGGCACTTCAGATAGAGGTCGGAGAAATACCAATTTTTTTGAGGAGAAAACAGTTAATTGTTAATTACTGGGCAAATCTACAGGGCCATAAAGATACTCACCCTACTAAACAAACTGTAAAAACAAGTTGGGAAAGTAACAAAATGAAAAAAGAAAGTTTTTGTGTTTGTGTTTCTGAATTATGTAAGGAATTCAAAGTTAAAGAATGGAATATTAGTCCGACGGTGTTGTTATCAGCTGTTCCACCATGGTTGCTACCTCAACCTATAGTAGATTTATCTTTATTGAAACGGTTACATTCAATGAAAAACAAAATTAATGTACAGGCTTATGTGAATACTGTTCTACATGAACAATATGGGCAGTTTATACAAATATGTACTGATGGATCCAAAAATCCAGAAAATGGTCAAACTAGTTGTGCATTTTATGTTCTTGAATTAAAAGTAAAAGTGGGAAAGCGGACTAGTGATCACATCGCAGTATATACAGTAGAGATGATGGCTATCTCACTAGCACTTCAGTGGGTAGAGGAAATACAGCCAATGCGAGTGGTCATTTGCTCTGACTCCAGTGCAGCTCTGGAGAGTATAAACAACTTCTCTTCAGAATGTCGACAGGATATTTTACACATCATGTTTAGGTTAGTTCATCTGGGAATTGTTGTTCAATTTCTGTGGGTTCCAGCGCATGTGGGTATTAGAGGGAATGAGGTAGTGGATCAACTGGCAAAATGTGGTTTGAAAGCAAACCAGATTGATATTATGGTACCCATCAGTAGAGCAGAAGTCAAATCTGTTACAAAAGTTGTTATCAAGCAACAATGGCAAAAACTATGGGACAGTAACACCAAAGGAAGACATTTATACCAGATACAAAGGGAAGTAGGAATGGGAAGCACTTGGGGGAGTAGTAGAAGAGAACAGAGCATTAACAGCAGGATAAAATTGGGTCACTCTGGATTAAACTCATCACTGCATCTGATTGGAAAACATCCAAATGGCAATTGTGATGGTTGCCAACAACCAGAGACAATACATCATGTATTTTTTAGCTGCCCGGATTATAACAAAGACTCATTCTGAAAACTGCACTGGAACAACTCAACGTCAAGGACATGGATTTCAAGTCAATATACGAAAGTAAATCAAGAAATGAAGCAAACAAGCTGATCTTCAAATTCCTCAAAAGCACTGGTCTGAGGACAAGGATTTAGTATAAACATTTAATAAATCAACAGTAGGTGGCGATATATGCTCCAAGTGGAAGCGATTCGCCATTAAAGAAAAGAAGAAGAAGAAGAAGAAGGTGAGAGGAAACGAAAGTGGATTTTGACATTGTTGAACAGCGCTGAGACGCCATTACAGGGTGTGAGATATCTGCTCGGAGACACACGTTTGGAGTATATTTGGGGAGAAGTGGAGAGACTGTAACTTGGTAGGTCCTGCTCTAGAAATAACTTTAATACAAAATGGCGGAGAAAATCGCTCTTGTTGAAAGTTTCCTGAGCTGCCATGTGTGTTCAGAGACTTTCAGAGATCCCGTGTCTCTGGGCTGTAACCACAGCTTCTGTTCGAGCTGCCTGCAGACATTCTGGGAACAAAGTAAGAACAAAAACTGTCCCATTTGTAAAAGAAAGTCCTCCAAAGATCCTCTTGTGGTGAACTTTGCACTGAAGGAACTGTCTGACTCCTTTGCTGAGAGACAGAAAGCTGGATCATCTGAGACAGAAAAAGGAGAGAAGAAGGTGGAGGTGGTGTGTAGTAAACATCCAGAAGAGCCTAGATTGTTCTGTATGGATGAAGAGAGAGCTGTGTGTCTTGTCTGTGAGTTTTCTCTCCACCAGAGTCACAAGGTGGTTCCTGTAGAACAAGCAGTCAGTGAGCTGAAGGACCTGCTGAAATCTGACTTAGAGTCTCTGCAGGACAAGAGGGACACATACAAAGGAGTGGAGACAACATACAATGAAGTGATTCAAGGTTCCGAGAAGCAGCTGCTGTCCACAGAGAGGAAGATCAGAGCAGAGTTCATCAAGCTCCATCAGTTCCTGAAAGAGGAAGAGGAGTCCAGACTGGCAGCTCTGAGGGAGGAAGAGGAGCAGAAAGGAAAGTCTATCAGCAGAGAGATGAAGAGCATTCAGGAGCACATCTCCTCTCTGTCACACAGTATCTCTGCTGTTGAAGAAGAGCTGCAGAAACACAACGTGCCCTTCCTCAGCAGTTACAAAGCCACTCAGAGCAGAGCCAGAGTCCAGAGCTCACTGCCAGACCCACAGCTGCTCTCAGGAGCGCTGACAGATGTGGCCAAACACCTGGGCAACCTGTCCTTCAGAGTCTGGGAGAAGATGAAGGACCAGGTCCACTTCAGTCCTGTCCTTCTGGACCCAAACACTGCAGACAGCCGGCTCTATCTGTCTGATGATCTGACCAGTGTGAGACGTGAAGACGCAGAACAGCAGCTTCCTGATAATCCAGAGAGATTCACTAACGGTCCTGATGTTCTGGGCTCTGAGGGCTTCAGCTCAGGGAAACACAGCTGGGAGGTGGAGGTGGGAGATCATCCTCGATGGGTTATAGGTTTGACTAAAGAGTCAGTTGACAGGAAGCGAGAGATACCAGCTGTCTCACCAGAATGTGGAATCTGGTGTTTATGGCATCGCAGTGGAAGATACACTAATGGTGATGGTGAGACTGTCAGAGTGAAGAAGAATCTCCAGAGGATCAGAGTCCAGCTGGACTATGACATGGGGGAGGTGTCCTTCTACGACCCTGAACACATGACTCCCATCTGCACTCTCAGAGACACTTTCACTGAGAAACTCTTCCCATGGTTCAGTATTGGACCAGCTGGTGATATCAAAATCTGTCAGAGTGAGATTCCTCTGTGATGCTCAGGAGTGTTGGTTCAGACTTTATTCTGACTTCACTGTCCGTCTACATCTCTTTGGAACAATCAAGAAAAGAATCAACAGATGATAATGAGATATTAATCTTTGCATGACATTTTTACACATTATAATCAAAGAGTCAGACAAAAACAAACAACTTGATTGTTTATTGCTATAGTTTATTTTGCATCATACTTTATTACAGTGTGTTTATAGTTTTCATTTAACTCTGACACTTTATTAAAATCGGAAAATCATTTAAAAATATATTGAGGCATGATTGATGAATGTTCACATTTTGAATCCAAAAATCTTTAAAAGAATACATTTATTTTCTGTTTTTCTTTGTAATGGATGAAATGAGAATGTTTGATTAAGTTTTGTGTGAATTCTTGAAGAAATGTAAGAAGTTTGTATATCGTGCTGAAACTTCATGAAATCAACCAAACTAACAAATCAAAGCTGTCACTTCTCTTTTTATCAACATCTAGTTTCTAGTCAAACATCATGTTATAGCAGGATAAGTTATCAGTTTAACTTTTTTATATTTTTGGGTCTTTTGATGAATTATTTTGAGATATGTTGTTTTTCTGCAGGGAGCAAGTCATTTAATACATTTATTTGAATTAATTATTTCATTCTTACAATGTTGTTTCGTTAGCATGTGACATTTTCAGTCCTATATAGATGGACAATAACATTTATGGTAATTGAAAATATCAATTTCTAATTAACCTAGAGGGAATAACAGCTGTATAATTAAGTGTAGTATTTTTGATGCTGCTTCAGATATCTTGTGATTAAATAAGCAGCAGTTTAATTCAGAAATGTGTCTATGACGCTGATTTGTTTCTTCACGTACATCTGTCAAATAGTCATGTGATAAATTACAGAGAATACAAATGTTGAAAGAATATTGCACAAAAATATAAATAAATAATCTGAACATTTTAATGATCTAATCTCTTCTTATTTAATTCATTGCATCCCTTCATACCTTTACATTCATGGACAGCCAAACTCATGAAATCTCTGTTTCCTTGTGTGAAGTCATGTGACGGATGAACCTGCTGTAAACAAAGAAGCTCCCACCCTGATGAAGGAGACTCAGCAGAAAACATGTGAGGGGTAAAGCATGGCATACTGGAGCTGTGCCACGTGTTTGATTTGATGGAGTTGTTTTGATTCTCTCTTAGAAACTGTCAGGAGTCACATTCTCCACCTCCACTGCAGCATTATAACAAATACAAAGTAGCTTCAACATTATTGTTACGTTCCCTACTGGGCTAGGGGAACCAGAGGGAAGTAACAACATATGAAATAACCAGGAGAGAGAAAAAAGGAGAGGAAACTGAGATATAAAGCCACAAAGTGAGGTTTTAAAAGAAAAAGGGCTCACCAGCCAACTTGCAAACCAAAATAAAACAATACACGAACAAACTGGAGCACATCTCCTAACACTTCACAAAAACCCAGGCCTCACACAGAGACAGAGACATGCTGCACACATGCAGCCAGAGGAGAAGGAGCGAGCGACTGCAGCCTTCCTCAGGTCCTATATGGAGGCCCTGATTGGGGATTGGGAGCACCTGGGGGAGAGGCTGCACCTGGAGACAATCAGGGAGAGAGAGAGACACACAAAAGCACCAACTGCGGCACCAACTGCGGCACGTAACACCCACGTAACACCCACGTAACACCCACGTAACATCGCTCTGAGCCAAAACACCACTGTGCATTAACACCAGCTCATCCGCCATAGTGGCAGCCTGCTGCAAGGAGGTTATTTTTCGTTCATTTAAAACAACAGTATGTTCTGGGACACAGTTTTTAAACTCCTCCAGCACTATGAGATCACAAACTGAAGTTAAGTAGTCAGCCTTTGATGCCTTACACCATCCGTTGAATAGCTTGCTCTTCTCCATTGCAAAGTCTACAAAAGTTTGGCCAGGTGTTTTCTTTAGGCCACGAAAACACTGTCTATAAGCCTCAGGCTCAAGCTCATACACTTTGAGAATAGCGCATTTAACTTTTTCGTACACAATACAATCTTCAACAGGAAGAGAAGAGCAAACCATCTGAGCTTTACCAACTAACTTGCACTGTAACAGTATGGCCCACACATCTTTGGGCCAGTGCAAAGCAGCAGCAATGCGCTCAAACACAACAAAGTATGACTCAACTTCAGACTCACGAAATACTGGAACCAGCTGAATGTTGTTACCAACATCAAAAGGAGCATCATAACCTGACAATGGTTGTGTACCCGAAGGAGGACCCAACTGAACCTGTCTGCAGCTCTAGCTGACGCATCCTGAAAGCTGTGTCTGCATCTAACTTTCTGATCTCCAGCTCCCTCCTGAGCTGAAAATCTTGCTCACGCTCCTCCTTCTCCCACTGGAGACGAGCTAACCTCACTTTCAACCTGGCATCTAATTTAGAACCAGTATGAGAGGACTCACCCAACACAAGGGAGGCCATACTAAACACACAAACTAAATTTGCAACTACTCGCCAGCTACAATTAGATCACCTCACTCAACAGGCAAATATATCTGATGCTACACAAAAATTGACTCTAGTCTTCCAAATAACAAACTTCCCCAGATCCTGCCTACCACAACTTACCTAACTATCTTCTGGAGCGTGCCGGGCTCGAGGCGACTTTAAAGGCAAACATCAGCGGCCGAAACCCTGAAACGCCTGCCCCCAACAGGGACTAAATCCCCACCCAGGATTACCCCGAAAATAAAAAAGGCAAAATAAAAAATGAGTGCCTGAAGGAAAGACTGATTCAGCCCAGCTAGACACTCCCCTATCTAAACTGAGGAAGCTGTTCAACAGTAAGAGACTTCAGCCAATGCTACACACTACTGCTCACCACCAAACACAATCACACTAAACAAACAAATACTCACTCTTTGTCTCAAAGATCGGACGAGCCCCCATGTTACGTTCCCTACTGGGCTAGGGTGTTACGTTCCCTACTGGGCTAGGGGAACCAGAGGGAAGTAACAACATATGAAATAACCAGGAGAGAGAAAAAAGGAGAGGAAACTGAGATATAAAGCCACAAAGTGAGGTTTTAAAAGAAAAAGGGCTCACCAGCCAACTTGCAAAGCAAACCAAAATAAAACAATACACGAACAAACTGGAGCACATCTCCTAACACTTCACAAAAACACAGGCCTCACACAGAGACAGAGATATGCTGCACACATGCAGCCAGAGGAGAAGGAGAGAGCGACTGCAGCCTTCCTCAGGTCCTATATGGAGGCCCTGATTGGGGATTGGGAGCACCTGGGGGAGAGGCTGCACCTGGAGACAATCAGGGAGAGAGAGACACACACAAAAGCACACACAAGCACCAACTGCGGCACGTAACAATTATAAACAGTAATGCATTATTTATTCACTTTGATCATTTGTCTTGATTTACTTCAAACCCAAATGATCCAGTTGTTGATCAGCTGTGTTATTTAAGGTGTAATAAAACAGCCTCATTGAAGAGGACATCACTGAGGGGTTATACACACAGAGCATGACTGTCTGAATGATTTGCTCTAGGAGAGTTTTCACTAACGATGTACTACGTTCACTACAACATGTATTTATTGTGTAACCTACAGTCTTCAAGGAGAACATATACAAATGTGCAAAATGTGCTCCACATCATAATATGTGATTGCATGGTCACGTTACACTTCCCGTAAACACCACAAGATGAAGACAAAGTCAAGATGTGTTTAACTGCTGGATCATTTTGAACACTGAACATGTCATTTCTTTCACTTATTCACATGGATATTATTGTTTCATGCACAGGTTGATCAATAGCCATTTTTATTGTAATACATATCCTTCACAGAAACACCATCCTGTTTGACAGACATACTGTATGTCCAGGGAATGTAAGAAATGAATCTCTGCTGTGGCTCTCGTTGTGGCTTCATCAGGCACAAAGTGGTCCAATCATCTCAAACACATTCTTCAGATTGCATTATATCTTAGACATGAGTCTTTCAGCTCTTCACAGCCCAACTGTTGTTTTGAGCTGCTATCATGAAACCTGGTTGAACAACTTATTAACACAGAATTAAGAAAAACAAATGTCAGACAATCTTTTCATTTTCTGTTATCTCATTCCTTCCTTTGTTAACCGGATTTAGAGAACAACTCAGCTGCTACAAACCTACTTACAGGGCAACATAAGTATCTGTATGAGTGCAGTTTGTCTTTCCTCATGCCAAACACTTTACACCACAAACATTTACTGTTAAAATACAAATCAGTGTCAGCTCCTGCACGTTCTCTTGAAGCCCCGCCTCCAGGAAGTAGTCTCTGTTTAATGAGCCAATTAGGCTTTCCCCTCTCATCCTGAACAGGTCACCCTCCTGGTCAAACGTCAGAGGAAGGTTGAAGATGGGAACTCCCTGGTAGATGGCCTCTTGAAGTGTGTTGGTGACCTTCTGATGTGACCACTCAAGCTCTGCTATCTCCTCAGTGTCAAATAATTGTTGATTTAATTCCTTTATTCATCACTAAACATAAAAGTATATTCAAACATTAGAGTCTATACATTTTGATCGTAATCTCTTCATGTTAGGACACATTTAAGTACGCCTATATTTACGTATCTCTCCCTGTGTCACATTTTTCTCTCCAAAACATAGTCACGTGACGTAGACGTGAAGAAGTGTGGGCCCACAGCTGAGAGGAGTTACAGTAAGATTGGCCCAGTGTCCTCTGCCATGACGGGGAGATAGAAAGTCTTCAGGTTCAAATCAGAGACAGTGATCATACGGCTGTCTTGCCTCTTCAGATAAAGAAGTGTATTGCTTGCCCTGTTTCCATTTGGAAAGAGAGAGGCAGTGTTTCAGCATTGATGATGTAATATAACGTAAATGTTTATTCCCTCTTCTCCTTGTGAAAGATCCAACAATCTTTCAGGGTCAGACATCACGTCGGTTACCTGCAAGTTTCTTTGATTCTTATTACAATGCTCATTCAGATATTCCTTTGCATTGAGGAGAAGACACCACTATGGTCCCCAAGCTCTCAGTAATAATACATCTATTCTCCATAAAGTCCTCAAGACGTTGAAGGGTCAAACTGAAACTTGTAGACAATGTTGGGCATGGAGAGACGAGGGGACCTCAAAGAGAGGTCAGTTCTCATCAACCAAATATCTGCTGCCTGAAGGAACTCTTCACAGTGGACGCTAGGACCAAAGTGACGGGGGACTAATGGTGTAGTGAGGCTCTCTTATATTCATCTCATTCATAAGTAATATCCAGAGGTGGGAGAAGAAGTATTCAAATCTAATACTTAAGTAAAAGTAGAAGTACCAGAGTGTAGGAATACTATGTTACAGTAAAACATTTTTTTAAACTTATATAAATATAGTTAAAGTAGCAAAAGCAAAAGTACTTATGATGCAGATTGGCCTATTTCAGGAGTAATATATATAACATATTTTGAATATAATTTTTGATGCAAAAATATGTTTATCATTGCATGAAGTAATTTTTATTATTTTATTGACTTTAGTGTAGTTTAGTGTAGTTTGTACAGTACTTGAGTAAATGTACTTAGTTACTTTACACCACTGATAATATCAATGCAAAAACAAAATGTCCCCTTAACTCATGTCATTAGTCAGTGCATGGTCTGGTAAAGGAACATATACGATGGTGATGGGGAACTGCGATGTCCAACTCTTCTCCATCTTTGAAATATGAAGTTGAAGTGTACGCTCTGACGCAGCTGCAGCGTTCTGGTTGTGAAATACTTCATGTTGTTTGCGCATCAGTTCCAGTAACACGGTGGAGGGCAATTGTAGTGATGGGACTCTGCGTTGATGTAGCAGCTGGTTTCGGTCCGGATCTCTGGGAGGTTGTGACCTCTGGAGTGGAGCTGCTGGGTGAAGATCTTCATGTTGACCCAGGAGAGCGGAGCAGCCGGTGTCAGCGGTCTCACCTGGATCATCCTGAGGTGAAGCTGGAACCATAAAACAAGGAGGAGGTTCAGTGGAGACAGGTTTCATCAGGAGGGTTTCATGTTTCCTGTTGATGTTCTGCTGCTGATGCAAAAGAGTTCACTGTATATGTGACGTTCGCGAACGATCCGATTCTTTTGAACGGCTCTTTGGTACGAACGAAGGGAACCGAGTCGTTCTTGGTGAGAGCCGTTCTTTTTATCGTTGGTTCCCTGCCTGCCATAAATCCACTCGCCTTTAAAGGAACTTGCTGAATGCACATTTTCCATAGATGATGGCATAACGCGTGCTGCTTGACTAGTAGTTTGGCTGGCTGAGCAAGTTATACATTTTCTGTGAGTAAAAGTAGATTTCTGGCAAAACAGTCAATCATTATCCTGGTGATTATTTAGCAGATAAACCTAGTAACCCCGCCCCCTTAAAAAAAACAAGATCCGGCTCCCTTCAAAGAGCCGTAATTCCCATCACTACGAACATCTTTTTATTTTATATTTGAAGAAATGCACAATGTAAAAATATACAAAAGTCAGAAAACACTATAGTTATCTTACATACTAAAATCCAGCTTTGATAACACTTTATATAATTATAAAACATATCATATATATTATTCTGAAATGGACAAATCTGCACAATGACTACTTTTACTGTCGCTACTTTAACTATATTTTGATGATAATGCTTTTCTACTTTTGCTTGAGTAACATTTTGAATGCAGGACTTTTACTGTAACAGAGTATTCCTACACTCTGAGTACTTCTACTTTTACTCAAGTACAAGATCTGAGTACTTTGACTTTTACTCAAGTACAAGATCTGAGTACTTCTACTTTTACTCAAGTGCAAGATCAGAGTACTTCTACTTTTACTCAAGTACCAGATCTGAGTACTTCTACTTTTACTCAAGTGCAAGATCAGAGTACTTTTACTCAAGTACAAGATCTGACTACTTGTCCCCCCTCTGCTTCCTACAGATGAGGAAAGTCTTCAGACTCTGAGCCGACTCTCAGCTTCAGAGGACATTGAGCTGCAGAAGACAGCGGCCATGTTTTATCTACAGCTCAGTCATCACTGTGAGTAAAGAATCCAAACAGATTTGTATGTTGCTTCACTATCTTCTTCTTTATAGCAATGGTTTACAGATAAGTGGAGCAGGTAATGAGACGTGTGTTTGCTCTCCTCTGCAGAGATAAGCTCTAACGGACTGCACAGTTATTATGCAAATTATCAACTGTAATTTTCTTTCTAGGGTTGGCAGATAATTCCCTGCATGTGTGGGCTGAAGTGCCGTTATTCACAGTACTAGTATCCCAAAAACTCTGCTTCTTCACCCACAATAACCAGTGTTTCCTGCTCTGTGTGTTTCAGTGAAGTCTCCTCTACCAGACGCATTGTTGGAGCCGGTCATGAACTTACTGCTATCATCTGACCTGGATGTTCAGAAGACCATCTCTCTGTCTTTAGTCAATCTGTTAGTGAAGAACAACGGTGAGAAATAAGAAATCACAAGGTGTTTTAAAGAGTCCTCTCTACTTTAAAGAGTCCTCTCCTGCTGATGTTCAGGTGTATATCATTATGTAGTGTCTCTACTTTAAAGAGTCCTCTCCTGCTGATGTTCAGGTGTATATCAGTATGTAGTGTCTCTACTTTAAAGAGTCCTCTCCTGCTGATGTTCAGGTGTATATCAGTATCTCTACTTTAAAGAGTCCTCTCCTGCTGAAGTTCAGGTGTATATCAGTATGTAGTGTCTCTACTTTAAAGAGTCCTCTCCTGTTGATGTTCAGGTGTATATCAGTAAGTAGTGTCTCTACTTTAAAGAGTCCTCTCCTGCTGATGTTCAGGTGTATATCAGTAAGTAGTGTCTCTACTTTACTTTAAAGAGTCCTCTCCTGCTGATGTGCAGGTGTATATCAGTGTGTAGTGTCTCTACTGCAGTGGTTCTCAAAGTGGGGGGCGCGCCCCCCCTGGGGGGTGCAGAGGCATGACAGGGGGGGGCGCGAGAGACCAAGAAGGAAAATTGTTATTAAAAAAAAAAAGAAAATCATAATTAAAAAAATTAGTGATTCGAAAATAATATGATACAGTACTATTACGTCTGGGTCTCTGCGTTTCATTAAAGCTCGGCTCTGTGTGTGTGTGGAACGAGCCATTTTGTGTGCGTGCGCGAGCGAGAGAGAGAGAGCGCACCGGTACCGGAGGTCGTTGTTGTTAGCTTCTGGTGCTAGCGAGCTAGTGGCCGGGTCTCAAGCGTTTTGGTCACGATTAATGTAAACAATTATTTCCGAGGCACACGTTTATATGATCATTATAGTTATAAAGAAATAAGAGAATAAATGAAAAACAGGTATGAAATGCTATATGACAGTAAAACAAGAATACAGTTTAAAAGGGTGATTTGTAAAATATCTATAAAGAAAAAGTAAATCTGTTTACAGTTCTGTTTCATATGGGTGTTGAGAGATGTATCCATAGATCTCTTCATTTTGCTCTCAAAGTGCACCAGATTGATGCTTTTAACTTAAATATTTAAAAATAAATCTTCCCTATGTGAGGTCCACACACCACCTATAAAAATAGCACTTTACCCCTGCTTACACCTATATGCCATGAGCTGATTATCGAGCCTTCATTGTAACAGTCGCGGGTACATTGTGTATTTGCGTGGGGATTGTTGCAGTAGAAAATTCCACTGTAGCGACCGGTACATTAATGGGAAACCCTAAATGTTTGAGCACCCTCTATGAAACGTCAAGCTACTCCACAGCACCCCCAAAATAAATCTCTGGCGCCGCCACTGAGCCTGACTATTTGTGTTGGGGGGGCCCGACTTTTTTTTTTCTCCAAAGGGGGGGCCTGACAGAAAAAGTTTGAGAACCACTGCTCTACTGTGACATGTCTGCTCTGATTGGTTAGCTGGCTGGCTCTGTTGTTATTGGTCAACATCTTAGAGATGTCCCTCTAATAGAATCATGTTTTTAATATTGCTTTTTAAAATCTAATTGTTATCCACCATCACATCTTAAATTGACCAGATTAATAGGGTCATAATAACCGTGCATATACTGTAATATGGTGTCAGTGTGCAGAGCCTCTGTGGTTGAGATGGGGATGCTGGTTCCGCTCCTGGATCTGATCCGGTCCGGAGACTCCAGCGCTCAGAGCCACTCCTGCGCCTGCGTCTGCCTCCTCGCCTCCTCAGGTGGGTGCAGAAGGATTTAAGGTCTTTAAATTGTTCAATAATAATTATTCTCTCTGTGTCTGGCTGTTACATATTTTTATATATATTTGTTTTTGTATTCGGGATTGTGGGAAACGGGATTTCGATCTCTCTGTCTGTACACACAAACTGAAAGATTGACAATAAAGTTCACTTTGACTTGTGCAAAATGTAACGTTGAGTTTCTCCTTCCTCAAGATTCAAGGCTTTATTGTCATGTGTACATAGCCACAGTGTAGATATGACAATGAAAATCTGAGGTCACACGCTCCTCCAGCAGTGCAACACAATAAAACAGATAAAATAGAATTTCATTGCCATTTCTACACTGTAGCTTTGTACATATGATAATAAAACCTTTGAATCTATCTTATGTATATACAGTATATTATAAGCCTATGTTCATGCTACTGCAGTATTTGTTTACCTTTTTTAAAGAACATTTTAATTTTGTATATTGTTTATAGTGATTGATATACTATTTTTCATTTTCATTTTCATTTGAATTGTTAACTCTTTTCCACTTTTGAGTATTTGCATTTTAATGTTGAGCACACTGGTCCTGTAACAAAAATAATTTCCCAATTTGGGATTAATAAAGTACCTACCTACCTGTTAAGGAATAATTCTTCTAGGTATCTAACCTTTTGCTCTGTGACGTTTTATGATCTACTCTGACGTCTGTTATCTCCTTTAAGGAAAGGCCTTGGTGCCATATGTGTTGTTGTCACCAGTTTGTGACCGGTCAACTTGTCTTAACCTACCTAACTATCTATCTATCGACTGTAGAGGTGAGTTTGAAGGTCAGTTCACAAAAATGTATGATTCAAAATTCAGTTTTGTTGTTGTTTAGAACTAGATGCAGGCGTGCAGATGCCTACATACTCTCTCACAGAATGGTAAATATTTTCCCATTTTGCTGATGCTTTTATCCATTTAAATAACAATAAGTGCATGTAACCATGACGATGCAAACTCAAAAAGTGTCTATACTAGATGTGAGAAAATGAATATAAATACATTTTTACCACTGAAGATAGTACTTGTGTATTTTTAACTAAAGTAACTTTTTAGATTTCCCATAATATTTGTATTTTGCGTGGACTGTGACATGTTGTGTGGAGTGTTTTTCGAGCAAGGCAAGTTTATTTATATTGCACCTTTCAACACAAGGCAATTCAAAGTGCTCTCCAAAAAACCAAAACAAGCTAATATAGAATAACACAGATATAAAATACATGAATAAAAGTTACAGTGCAGTGTAAGAGATGAATAGTTCATTTAAAAACAGCGTCAAAAAGAAAAGTCTTCAGGCTGGATTTAAAAGTAGACAGAGTTGCAGCCGACCGGCAGGTTTCTGGGAGTTTGTTCCAGATACTTGGAGCATAATAACTGAACTTCTCCATGTTTAGTTCTGACTCTGGGGACAGAAAAGTGCACCGTACTTTAACAACAAACTCCTCCTAGGGATTTTATCCAATCATCTTCAAATCTTGACAGTAGCATCTCAAGACCTGGCAGATGCAAAGTTAGTGGCGCCCATTTTGACTCTCGCCTGATAGCTATGTGATCCCTTTCCATGGAAGGTGATTATCTCCTAACGCCAGCTGACATGCTCCAAACGGCCCCAAACGTCACATGATGGTTAATGCTTCGGCCCTGAACAGCTCATCTCCAAATCTGAGGTGCCGAAACACGATATTGCTGTGACACCAATGGACACGGTCCGATCGCTACCAAATTTCACATGTAATATCACCGGTCCATGCCTCAAAACATCTACATTACAACAGAATTGTGTCGAAGTCTTTACGTTTGGTGTCAATCATGATGAAGTCCAAGCTATGTAACATGAATGGCATGTCCCCCAAAGAGTTTATGGAAATCAAAAATAGTCATAATTGTCTATGATAAACTGTGTAGCCGTAATATAGAAACTCAGAGTCCCCTTTAAACCCACCATATGTAATCCCACAGCCGTTACGGCATACAATAATGTACTGTATTATAAACGCTTTGTAATCTAGAGCCTTTGCTATAAATCATAATATTATAATATCATATTTTCCAGTGTTCCCCAAGTGATAAACTTAAGTATAAAATAAAAGTACTTTAGTAGTATTTCCATCTTATTCATCTTTATACTTTTCTAAATCACTTCATCTCTCAGGTAACTATTTTACTTTTTACTCAGTTACGTTTTTCTTACATTACATTACATTACATTGCATTCTTTTAGATATACTGAACAATTTGTACTAACCCTAACCCTAAACCCTATCCATACCATAATTAGGTAATTTTAAATGTGAGTTTTCATTAACTTGTGTCTGTTAAAGGTGGGGTAGGTCATTTTGGAGAAACCAGCTCGAGTGCGCTAGAATTTGGAAATACACAACCGGAAAAGATCTGCCACTTCCTTATAGAGCCCCTCCTCCAACACACACGAACGCGCACATGACCAATGAGGGCACGAGATAGGTTTGTGCACACATGGAAGGCTGACAGGCAGGTAGGCCATCCAGTTATTTTAGCCGGGCCGGCTCAGATGATTGGTCGTGCTTTTTACAGTACTACGGCTTCCACAGATGAAATTCTTGTATGGATTTTTTGTCAAAGCACTTAAGATATTCATTGCTATCGGGATGTTAAGAGCATTCCATGGAATATAACAAAAAGTGTATCTCGAGCCGGTTTCTCAAACTTACCTACCCCACCTTTAATGGGTTTAGAAATCTTCCTACTTCTCAAGATAAATAAACTATTTGTTAGTGAAACCCTGACAGCGATGATTTTTTTACCAAAGTTTTGCAGATAATAATTACGCATTTCTATTTAAGTGAGGTTTTAAATGTTTGTGTTGTTGAATCAAAAGCACATCACATAAGGCATATATACATTTTCAGTTTTTATTTGACTCTATTGAGGTGAGTGACTCCATGTTTCAGTCAATACAATTACATGTTCCGCTCTTCACCTCAACATTTGGAGTATTAAAGTCCCAGAATATTTGACCAGCTTCTATGAACACATTTAAAAAATATATACATATATAATGGAATTGAATGTGTACAGTGAGACAAATATAAAAACACTTTTATATTTCATACCATGGGTTGTTTTATTTATGAAAGTGTTGATTAAACATACAATGAATAAAAAGAAGTACTTTAGTAACCAAAATGTATACAGTAAATAATGTATACTGTATATGTTTACACAGTGAGGCACATGCGTACAAAGATAGATTTGAATTTGTATTTTATTTTTAAATCAAATCCTAATTGTATTGGGCGAACCTGAGCTCCAGGAGAAAACCCAAAAGTGGATCAGATAGGGTTTTCTGGACCTCAGGTTTTCCAGAAATCCATATTAATAAGGATTAAAAAAAACATCAGCAAAAAGTCCCTCCTCCATTTACCTCACCTCACTCCACCCTCCAAAGTGTCTTTGAGTTAAAGAAAAGCGCTATATAAATATAATGTATTGTTGTATCTTCCCCCTCATACGGTGTTCCTGAAGTGCAAGTCAAAACAACATTTCAGAAAACACTTAAACATTTCACATTTTACGGAAAGGGTATTCCTTTAGGGAGAACACTTCTTGTTTGTGATTGGACAGAGCCAGCCAGAGAAGTTGCTGTGATTGGTTGTTTTTGCTGCCAGTCAAGAAATTATGCTTTGTGATTGGTCCGCACCCGTCCAACAGCACCACGTATTTCCTGTTTGGTACTGTTCAGCTGTTTCTTCACGAATTGTAAACTGAGTTGGAAAGAATGGAAGAAGAGATGGAACGAAGGATATACATACGATGTTATCCTCGACATGCTGTCAACCCATCACGACATCTACATGTCCCTTAGAACCAGGGGTGTAGTGCTGCCGGAGCGCCGCTCCGGTTGTTAGCATCTGGTTAGCTAGCTATGCTAACGTACATAAGGAGTTGTTTCTACAACAAGGTGGAGGAGAGTCCTCTCCTTTCAGACTGAGAGGATCTTATAACTACAGCTCAGTAATAATGATAATAATAATAATAATAATAATAATAATAATAATAATAATAATAATAATAATAATAATAATAATACATTTGATTTATATAGCACACTTTAAACATAAAAGGTTAAAATAAAATAAATAAATAAAGTGAGGTCTCAGTCCAAACCCTTTAAACTGCGCTTTCAGGGTTCTAAGCAGGGGTGTAGTGCTATTTTTATAAGTGCAGGAGCGCACTTATGACCAACAAAACAGCAACATATGGACATAGGTTACTATATCAAAAGTGTGCAAATGTATTTAGAATCCTATCCATGTGACCCTTTTTATAGTGGGTGGTGGACCTCACCTCCTCTAGGGGGGTCCGGGGACTTGCTCCCCCGGGAAGATGATTTTTTAAAAGTTGAAGTTAAATTCAATCTGGTGCACTTTGAGAGCAAAGTTAGGGACTAAATCTATTGATGCATCTCTAAACAACACCCATGTGAAACGGTACTGTAAACAGATTTACTTTTTCTTTATGCTTGTCTTACTAATCACTCCCCTTTTAAACTGTATTTTAGTTTTACTGTCCTATAGTATGAGTTGGAATTATTTCATACCTGTTTTTAATTTATTCTCTTATTTTTATAACTATAATGATCATATAAAAAGGTGTGCTTTGGAAATACTTGTTTACATAAATGGTGACCAAACCGTTTGAGACCCACTGAGATAGCTTAGACTAAAGTTAACTATCTAAACACTCAGAGTCCTTTAGCTCACTGAGCTGTAGTTATAAGATCCTCTCAGTCTGACAGGAGAGGACTCTCCTCCACCTTGTTGTAGAAACAACTCCTTATGTACGTTAGCATAGCTAGCTAACCAGATGCTAACAGCTGTGACTACCCGATTTGCATCTCTGCCCGATTTGCATTGCGCAAGCGCGAGATGGTCCGCCATATTGGACAGCTACATACGGCAAGAAAAATCAAAAATCAAAAAACCCGACAACATTAATCTGAACG